TCTCTCTCTTCCCTCCCCACCCCATTCCCAAACCCGCCTATTATCTATGCCTCTATTTGTCTGTCCGTCTCCGCCCTCCGCCTTCTATCACTATCAGCTGGGGTTTGGATTTGGGCCGGCGTGTTGACCCACTGACCCCTCCGCTTGACCTTTTAGAATCACGTGACCTTGGCGATGGAATAAAATCCGGCCTCCCCGCCTGGCCCGAGTTCCCACGTCGATCGGGAGGCCACAGGACGTGCTGGAGGACATAGTTGTCGCTCATTGGTTGCTTCCGCGCGTTAAAAAGATAATACTTTGACAACCCACAGCAACACTTAGACAAAGTTTGTTCTACCAGACACCTAGGGGCTCCCAGCAAAGGAAGGATATTATATATAGATTCTGCGTGCTGCTATAGGTATAATTCGTTCACCTGTTTCTTGTCTGTTACTTACTGGATTTTTCCTACCTTTTTGAGTTTGGTACGATTTTCAATCTTTCTTTGGTCTCAGCAGAGACTTGAATTTGCTTTGATTACCTATCTTTCTTTCTTCTCATCGAAGACTTGAGTTTGGTACAATTTTCTATCTTTCTTTGGTCTCAGCGGAGACTTGAATTTGCTATGATTTCCCCATCTTTCTTTCTTCTCATTGGAGCCTTTCCTGTGTTTCTTTCTTGAACCGTGTTGTGATGTTTCTGCCGTTCACTTTCCCATCCATGTAGACTCTTGAAAGATTTAATTTAATGTATTTTGTTGTTGTATTCTTTTTTCTTCTCGGAGACGTCCTGGGCTTTCTCCTGTCATTATTTTCTTCGAAGACACTCAAGCTTGCTGCGGTAAACTTTTGAATTTTGTACTCTCTGTGAAACGTTGACTTTGGTGAGTTTTGTTCTTCCGTTCTTTCGTGGACGATGGTGTGATCGTTCTGCATTTCTTTCCTGTCCATAAAGGTTCAGTTATTCGGAGTTTCTTTGTTCTTCGTGAAGGCTTGGCGTTGATGAGATTTTGATGTCTTTCTTTTCCGGACTTTGTGAGATTTCTACCTTCAAGTTTGTTTCCTGTCCACGACGACTGCTCTTCTTACGCGACAATAGTTTGGACATCGTTGCCGTGTCTTTCTTTCTTCCCCGTGAGGACTTGATTTGGATATTTGTTCTTCTGTCCTTCTTCTTTAGACGGTGGGGAGATGTTTCTGACCCGTCTTTTCTGTCCATGAAGACTACTCTTGAGTGATTGTTCCGTCTCATTTTCTTGGATATTTGTGTGATGTATACGACTGAACATTGCATGCATGATGCGAGGTTCTGTCTTTCTTTGCTCTCTTTGTAGACTTGACTTAGATGTGATATTTCTGTCTGTCTTTTTCGTTTATTGTGGCTTTTGACAAGAGGACTAAGACTAAGAAAAGTTGGGCGTTTGTCTTTTGTCTTTGTGCAGTGGTTTCTTTTGTGTTGGATGGGAATTGTCTGCTAGGGGGGGGTGAAGTGAAAACAAAAGTAGTAAAAGCTGTACTCAAGTTTTAGGTATTGAGATATTAAGAATCATGTGTTCAAAAGAACCCTCTTGTGTGAGTGTGTTGCTTGTATGCCTTGAGGACATGCGAGCGAATGGAACTGGTTGAGGAAACCATCATCATCATCCAGTGCCTTGCCGACTGGCGTGGGCGATCATGGACCTCCACTTCACTCTGTCTTGCTTTGCAGCAATGATGTCTGTTGTTCTTGCTGCTCGTAGCCATGTTGTCATCTTGTCCAGTATCTTTTCCCTCTGTCTGCCTCTGCCTCTCTTTCCATCAAACTTGCCTGTTGTTACAATATTCTCCAATGCTTCTTTCTTTTGAGAAAACCAACAACGTACTAAAACAGCACCCGGACATGGGTAGCTGGTGCCTCTTCAAATAAACTATTGGTGTGGTTTATGGTTTAATTAATGGCCAAAGAAACCCAACTCCAAAAGTAGATTATGCCAACTAAACTCTTCCAGGGAAGGTGGTCGGGCTGGAGGCCTAAGCTGTCCCCGTGGTTTTATGCACCCCGCATAATTTAGCAAAACTTGATCATCTTTTGCATACTTTCTGATTACTTTCCTTTATCATTCTTTGTTAAAATTAACAGAATCACATAATTTCACATTTTTAGGCTTAGTTTGCATAATTTCAGAATATTTCTTGCATAAAACGATGGGGGCCGTCTAAGTGGTTGAATGAGTGGGTGGGGTTGTTTTTTTTTGGTTT